ATGAGATTCAAACGTGGCTTTCGATTTACCGACTATGGACAGCCTGAGGGCACTTCCTTCTCAGTTTTCTGCGCGTTGACTATCGCCAGCTAAGTAGAGTCAATTTAGACCAACAATTTCCAGTTGTTTAAAAATGTCTCTGTACACACCTGCAGTTGTAAGACTCAGCATATGTGAACTGATTACCACATACCTTTATTTGCTACTGTAGGTGAATTACATCGAACAGCAGGCTGTGAGCTTACGACACGATTTAGCGGTTCACCTTTATCCTTCTTTGAGATCATCTTCATGATACGAATTCAAAAACAGTTAGCTTACATGTGTTTAAGTTCACGTCCAGTTTAACTGTGTTGTGAAATGTATTTTTCGTCTAAGGTGTACCCTGGAGAACGCAGTTGCAAGTTTGGTGTTATTAATCCAAAACAGGATGAACGTCCGATCTGGTCAAGACATGTAAGAATATACGCAAAATCGGAAATCATTGCGATCTGTAGACCACAAATATTGATGCGATCACACGCCGATTTATCAGGTCTATGGTCTTATTTTTCGCCCTGCTCTTTTCTACACCTGGCAACTGTTAAGAGCATTTATGAGGGGGATTGCCCGTCCGTTCTCAGGTGACAACTGTAGTTATAAATATGAATGAAATGCGATACACGGGAGTGATGGCGATTGTCGTTTAAAAATGTAAAATAGTGTTGATTCATTTAGGCGGTATCCATCTAATCATATTATGGCAGAATTCTAAGACCTGTTTCAGTTTGATTATCCTGATTGCCTTGACAATGCCTGGCAAACAGGGTCGGCTCGTGCCGGCCAAGTGTTCTAGTAACCCCTGCAATTAACCAAACGACCGTAAAGTGTTGCTGACGTTAATCAACAGACAGGCCTAGGGGATTGGGACACCGGATGATATCTCAGTATACAGAAACCCGTTGCAAAGGAAATCCCAGGCTACAAACCTCTCCTCGATCCCTAAAGGTCTCTGCAGTTTGAGCACTGCATAACTTGCGGTTTAACCTAAGGCGTGTACCGTAGGATACAAAGAGCCTCTAGTTTTCGAGAAACACACTCATTTGCAAATCAATTTGGTTTTCACGAGAGACTCAACTGAATCTCTCGTTTATGCTATTCTGCAACTGAAAGTGCTGCACACAGGGACTGCACCTACCTGATGAGCCCCATGAAGGGCGAAACCGATTGTGGGCTGACGAAGAGTTTTCAACAACTTTTGAGTAGTTTCCTTTATGAAAAAACCTCTAGTTTTTTTTCAGCTCCCACTTTGCTGAAGATTTTTTGTCGGAAATCCCAGCTGTTGGAAACCAAAACCAAGGACCTGATAAGAAACAACATTTTGTGCAACTCATGCTTGCTAAAAAACCAACAGCCCCCAAAAAGAGATTAACTTGTGACTTTACTCTCCACAAGGATCACCTTCGTGTACGGTACAATCTTCCCGATCCGGCAAGTTTTCAGCAGTAGAGATATGGAAATCAAACATTGTTTTACATAAAATCTGGGAGTTTGGCACTAGATAGCCTGACCAATATCAATGACGCGATCCAGCGATTCAAATAAATTCTGGAATTGTAGTGAGGCATCATGTCAACCACCCCTTATCTACCTACCGTTTCTGACATCTCAGGACAATTTCAAGTGAACAGGCACCCTTCTTCGTACAGTACATTACCTTGCCATTCGGTTGTTCTCTGGTTCGCCGAACTGTTTTCATTGGTAGCACCGTACATTACGAATTAATTTTGAGCGTTAAAACAGAAATTCTTTATCCGAACAAACATTGGGTTTTACTACACAATGACACCAAGAACCCCGTTGAAGAAAATACGTAAGCACCAGGATATTAACTTGGTTCCTCTGAGAAAGCCTAGCTTTTGTTGTGGCGATAAAAGCTTACGATGTCTAAAATTATTGCATTAGGTTTTCCTCTACAAGTCAGCGACCCGAAGAGAACGTTTTCTTTTAAAACCGGACAAAACTTCACGCAAATGAAGATCAATCATTGTGATTGTGATAGTTAAATACATTGACAGCGAGCTCACATGGCCTTATTCGTTGCGAGTAAGCACGTGGACAGTCAATGTTTTTCGTGCTCACTCGAGGATGAACACACACCGCGAGGCCACGTATCATTCACACATGGTGGCGGTAGCGAGAACAGTTTGAATACCCAATAAATCACAGCGGCGTTAGCAACAACAAAAGCGCTTGTGGCAACATACCTCTTGTGAGGTGGTGTCTTCGCGTCCAAACTTGAGCAAATTACCGAACAAATACACGAGATGTGTACGAATTTTGTCTTTTGATAGTAACTTTGAAAGCAATCTATGAAGTCTTAACTGTTCGCAGTGAGTAAAGTGGTGGGACGTGGTCTCATCCTTACTGGGGCTCACGAGCACTGCGTAAAGTGTTTCGGCCATTTGACAGGATAATACGTTCAGAGAATGAAACAAATGGCGTCAGGATATGGGGTTAGGTGAATAACAGACAAGTTGCTCTAGTAGTTCTCATCTTCTCTCTCGTCCTATGGGTGTATTTGAATGGATGAATTAATCAGACAAGCCTCCATCTTTAGAAGTAAAATCCCTTGGAATTGCCTCCCTGAATGACACGTTCTACGACAAACATTTTCGAACTTGCTAAAATTCGTTCTGCCGGGAACATAGTCTAGTGCCTGAATTGTGACCTCTCCCCAGGAAAACAGTTATATCAGCATACACTCTTGAGGATCACTAAAATACCTCATTTCGTAGGTTAGGCCAAGTTAACATGTGGAAACCATGTTAAAGTCACCATATAAACAATTTCCAATAGCACTGAAGTCCATATTCGGATGGAAAACTGTTAAAAGCAGGACAGTGTGCTTTCACTCCGTTATCTCAAAAATGTACGATATAATCCAATCAATTTTACCCACAGAATGTGACAAATATACTTTGCTTTATCGAAGCCCGCTTTGTGTTGCACAATGGTTAAGGTAAAAACAAAGTCGGTTCCTGTAACATATTTAAATCCGAGAGCTCTCCAACCAGTCGGCTAGTTTCCAGCATGTTTGTGCACTGGGATAAAAAATCAATGGCCACGGCACGTAGCTACACTACAAGGGACCTGAATTCCTTCTTTCAAGTGGCTATTATTAGGGGGGGGGCTGTGATTGAGTGCACCACGGTTAGACCAAGAGCCAGGAACGATCTGTACATAATTGATGTACTTGTGGCAACCTGAACGCTCTCGTCTAGTCTGGAGAAAAGCTACTACAGTTCGGCAGTAGCAGTACCTCCCAGAAGAACGTCACCAGTAAACGGCTCTCCTTTTGGAGAGGTTTGGTAGGTATCCGGTGCTAACTAAAGTCTACCAATACTCACCAAACCTCTCTGAGACGATCAGTGGTCAACGGGTCCAGAGTTCTTCAATTTGACTCATTTGATAACTTTTCATCATCCTTCGAGATCACATTGTCAATGCCGTTTCCGACAACCCATTGATAATTTCGGTCCGGATGTTGACGAAACCTATTCGACCAAATTAAACTACTTGGCAGACTTGCCAACTGTGCACTTAGAAATTTCTGTCGGGCCATCGCAACAATTTTGTCAATATATCTTCTGAAAAGTACCAGGATTTCTTAACTGGAAGCAGGTACACAAGATGCAGGAGATTGCCTTTCCTAGAAGCACGTTCTATGTATGCCATGAAGTGAACCAAAAAGGCCACTTACATCATTTTTCTGGATCAGGTAGATGACTCCCGTTGATCAAATCTCAGTTGTGCAAGCCATCCAATTCACACGTTTGCAGGGCAATCCCAATCCAAAATAACCTACACTTATGACACTAACCCGACATCCTAATAATAGACTGCTTATTTTTGTTCCTAGCTTTTATTTGACGCATCTTACATATTTTCACCAATCTCTTACTGATAATGACAATTCATTGGAAACGTGCATGAACTGGATTTCCTTTAAGGTGTATACTTTCAGAATCCCTATTTCTAATATGAAGTCAGAAACGTAAATGTTTTAAGAATGTCATTCTGCGTGCATTTATGGGCCTTGCAATGCCAATACCATCACAACGCTCATTCATCCAGTGCCGTTGCGATTCCTGACTTAGGTCAGCATACATCGTAAAACTTTTCGTCACAACTACCTCCAGAGAGGGAGAGCCCCAGAACAGAAGTCACTACTCACGGACAGCGGTGGGACTTGAGGCCAAAAATTTGACTAACCATTAAGTCATTGATACACTTATTGGGGCGTGATTCAGGTAATTTGTAACTTATACCATAGGATGAACGCTTGGAAGCTTTGTTTTATTTTGTTGACTTGGTGGTAGGTAAGGCAATATCCCAAATTCAGCACACCCAATTAGCTTATTTCGCAGCTTCATTCAGCAAAAATGACGTCTGAAATGTCCCTTTCTCTCTGTTATTTCTACATTCACGATACGACGGGGTTTGCTCCCTATTTAGAAGTGGAATTTTGTGTGGAAGTGTTTCTAGCTTGTCTGTTCCTGACTTTCAAGCTTGATGTTCTTAATTAATAAGTAAAACATGTGCATTCAATTATGAGACCTCACCATCCACCAACCTAGAAGCTGTCCGGCAACAGAGAAATCAAATTTCTGAATCAGAGAACTTTCAGCTGCAATTGAAAAAGTTAGAAAATTATTATATACATTGTGCAATCTACAGACCAGGTAGGATGATAAACATGTAAGTATGAGTCTGATTATACGGAGTGTACTGGAGTCATTCTGGGTGTTAAAAAAGCAAACCAAAGCACAACTTGGAATGAAGCAACCGATCAGGAGTTTCTCAACCTCTGTAGCGGAGATGGATCCGTTACCATAACCAGAGCCACAAACGCACACCAACAACTCATTGGCTGGCAAGGACACAAAAACATTAATGTACACGAACTGTCTGAAAGTTATCGTACGAAAAATAACTGGGAATATTTAGGTCAATCTTACCGATATCACGCTGTTGGGACGGTAGATGTGCACAAGAAGAAATGTTTGCTGTTTATCAAACATGAGATTCTTTAACTCGAAAGACGAAATTCCACTGTTATACTACGCAGTAAGACGTTTTCTTGGTGGTCACAGAGTGGTCCAACAATGACTGAATCAGTCAGAGCAAAAGCTGCACACAAAGTCAGAACAGAGGGCAGTGTAGCGGAAATGTTAGTTTCCAACGGGATAATAAAAGGCACCTGTGCTAAGTGGTCCGCTGGAGAGTGAAGTGGTTGCGTACGGGTCTGATCCGAAATTTCCAATGGCACTGACGACAGAATAGGCAGAAATATCTGGTTGTTGTTCCTGACAGAGGGGCTCATAGCGAAACATTTCTGGATGGTTGTATCCACTGAAATTTAGAACCGACAAACCTGGGGATATGTTCGGCAAGTTCGCGGGTGGAACCTGTGGTGGAGGAGGTTGAGGCAAATATCCCAAGTTGAGTTTTGGAAGCACAAAAGCCCCAGGTGGATTTTCCGTAAATTCATTTGGAATGTGATCTTGTGTTGGGTTAAATGGAACGGATGAACTGCTAGCATATAGCGATTTTATCCGCAGTCCCAGTAAACTAGCTGTGGCCGAACCATCGTCAACTATATTGTCACAACCAAAGGAAGAACGCTCGTTAGAACTGCCCGGATATGGGTGCAGCAGTCCTTCTGATGGAGAGATTTGTGCTGCTGCTGGGCTGGTGTTGAAATGGGAGTATATCGTCTGGGGCTCCTGTCCGATCAAATGATTGCCAGATAGACCAAAAGTTGAGTATAACGGCGGGAGGATATTGGCTCCATAAGGTGAGTAATTCTTCACATCATGACTTAGACAGGGACTGTGAAGGCTGGTTGTGCTAGATCTGGCGAGGCTGTGATTTTGAATATCCTCCAAGGATATATTGTGTGATCGACGTCTAGATCGCTTGTTGGAGCTGCTGCGTTTGGCTCTTGGACCTTCAGAGGCAGAAAAGGCAATTTCGAGTGCAGATGAAGAGTTCACGTTTTCCAGTGCAGTCGTTTCACCCAACGAACAGTTGTTTGCTTCTGTCGTCAGACTGTTAGTAGATATTGCAGGTAACATCTGATTTTCATTTTCTACGTCACCATTCAATAATTTCTGCGGTTTACGATCCACGACTTCTATCTCATCATCCGAACTATCCAGCATTGATTCTTCCCCAATCGGACTACCCATGTCACCTCCAGACAACGGAATCAGTCGTTTCTGCTTTTGGCGCCGGTTGCAGAACCAAACCCGAACCACCTCCTTTTCTAATCCCAGACTATTCGCTAGCTGAACAATATCCTGGGCTAGGGGCTTTGGCTGCCTGGCAAAATGCGTTTCAAGTACACCTTTGACACTCACCTCGATGCTGGTACGTTTTTTACGCTTCCTTCCCTGTGCTGCAATTTTGTCCAAGTTGCTTGCTGTTCCAGTGGAGCAGTCTGCCTCTTGTAACCATTTTTGTAACAGCGGCTTCAGCTTGCACATGTTTTTGAACGATAACTGCAAGGCTTCAAAACGGCAGATTGTAGTCTGACTGAACACATTCCCGTACAGGGTACCCAATGCAAGCCCCACATCCGCCTGTGTGTAGCCCAACTTTATCCGTCGTTGTTTAAACATTCGGGCAAATATCTCCAAATCATCAGCTGACGGGTAATCCCCTGAGGTGCCAGAGTTGGCTTGTAAATAGGACAGACTAGGCGAACCAGAATCAAGCTCACGAAAAGAATCGGGAAGCGCACTCGGGCTTTGAGGCTGAGATAACATATTGTGTGCGTGGTGGTACATCTTTATCCCATTGGAAAGCTTACTGGGAAACTCTCCACTGGAGTGTTCTGCACCCAATGAAGCGAAACTGGTCGCTGAATCAGGGAAGAATTGCATTAGTGATATGTTTGGTTGCTGAGAATTAGTGAATCGGTTGGCAGAGTAGCAGATTCCATCGGATGAAATTGTTAGCTGTATCCGTGGATCCGCTTCTTGCTTCTCTCCCAACATATGTGGAATGGATTGATTAGATTGGGGTTGGAAGTACAATCCATTGTGACTTGGATGGGAAACTGAATCAACTGGTAGACGATCAAGTCGCCAATGAGGTGGAAAATTCCGGAAAACCCCAGGAGGACTCACCTTTGATATATCAGAATCTCCACTACATTTTATCTCGTAGGATTCTTTCGCGGGAGATCCGTTGTTTCTCTCCACCCCAGTATGCTGCTCGGATACCTCAGCTTTTCGAATTTGTGGAGAAATTTCCAAGCTGTCTTGATTGACACCACCTTCGAAGTTTAGGTGGCACTCAGTAGGTTCTAGGTCTGGTACATGGGATTTATTCAGGGTTGACAAGTTTGTTTCTGAATCCTTCGTCTGGAATTTCAGTGCGGCTTCTTTGATAGAAGCTGATATAGTGGAATTCATGACACATTTTGGGAAGTAATCCGGGCTCTGCGATTGAATGACCTTGTTTAATTTTGGTCCATTCTCCCTGTCGAGAGGCGCACACGAAACAGGCCGAGGTTGGGTAGTGGAATGGAGTAAGGCACGCTCTGGTAGTGGCCGGGGACTGAAACAGGATGTATTCCATTGGTCTGAAACATGCCCTCCGGTATCGTCGTTGAATTTACATTCGGATTTATCCGGCTCTTCACAATAAGGATGATTCCAGGGTGTATCTTGTGCGACCTGGAGTACTGGTAGATTCTGACAAATCACGCCAACCCCTAAGCGTTCGGGACAGCCGGTTTCTTCATTAGGGCCGTGCTGTCTTGATCTCAGCGACCTATCTGTAGGCACAGCAGAGTGAGGCGAAAGAGGCCCATTTATCACGGAATATTGCTCTTGGTCCGTTTGTTTCGAATACATTTCTGACATTTTAACCTCAGCTTGTCTGGGGAATTCGTAATCAACTGCGTGGAAGGTAGAAGGACTGTCATTGAGATGTACGGATTGTCCGATTATAGGTAGACGTAAGGTTTCCGTTGAGTGTACTATGTCAACTTTGTTCTCAAAATGCTCAGCAGACAGACCGGATAGGTTGATCACAGAACTGAATACGCTATGAGCACCAGGAACACCATAGAAAGTCTCGGGCAGTTGATCTGCTCCACTATTCATTCGTGTCGTTGTAGGGTCTTCTCTTGGATAGTCGAACTGTGAAGTATAATGAGAAGCAATCCCAACTGATTTGCTTGTTGGTCTGGGAAAATGAAATGCACTCGTTCTGATGCCATCATTATCAGTACTACCACCATCAGTAGAAGAGTTGCGTGGAAAACTCCTCAAGATGTCGACTGTACGATCAAAGGGCAGAATTGTCCCAGCATTGGCATTTGGGTGAATATGATCCGAGTCGACAATTATTGGTTGACGTGAATCTTCAAACTGAGCAGAACAAAAAGGAGCAACAACGTGGTTTGTACGAAGCATTTTGCAACTATCTTCAACTTTGTGGTCCACGTCTTTGTCATAGTCTCCGTTGGATAACCCAGGCAAATGATGAGAGGGCTGTTCCTCTGACCACTGTAAGGTGTTGAAGGGATACATACTGCTTGGTATCACCGACTTCAAATCTGACGGAGATTGCGGTTTTTCAGAAAACTCGTGGGCATGTGTGAAGGAGTTTGGGAAAGGGTTTATTGGTTGCAGTGGTGGAGGTTGCGGAGTCCGCTCATACTCATCGTCTAGTGGATGTTTTTGATACTGGGAGCTGAATGATTCATGATACGTTTCGTTCGGGTACATCATTGAGCAAGGAGAATTCGCCGAAAACACGTCACCAGGAGCTCCTTTGTTCTCAGTGGTCGACACTGTCAGAAGTGCTGTGCGGAGGTAATCAGTTACCAGGGATGGGTGAAATACCGCCTGTTCGGCATTGAGTACAGAGTTTTCGGTAGCATGTGTCATTGGCTCAGTAATCGGAGCGGCAATAGGGTCCCATTGATTTTCCATCAGGAACTTTGCCCTGTTTCGCGGGTCGGAACATTTTCCCTTGTTCCTTGTGCGACTGCCGTTGGATCGCTTTGAAGTGCCACCAACATTACGGCCGGTGTTCTTTCGTTGATGGTCATCTGGACAGTACGATAACACAGAATTCCACGCGGAAAGCGTGGTATTATCCGGTGCGAATGAGCAAGCTGATTTCAGTAATGATAAAGGATTAGATTCCATACAACTAGTACGAATTCCTCCTGATGTTTGACTGACACTTCCGAACACCGAACATTTAGTTTCATTATTTCCATCGCTGAGTACTGGCTGTGTTATGGTAGCAATAGTTGCGGCAGTTGCTGTTAAATCCTGGGTGAATGCATGAAGTGGTTGCGAAGTTAATGAACTTGGAATCATTAGGCACAGAGTTATTGTGTCGTTTGGTAGTAGTTCATGAATGCGCGTTCCAAAATATCAATTTGTCTGTTTAGTACGCGAGCGTGATCGTGCAAGGCGTAAAACACAGTGTGAAACTGTAAATTATTGCGAGGCCGATACATCGTGCCTGTGTGATTCGTCGCTTCATCAAACTCGCGACTTCATCGTTTGTACGTCTGCGTCAGTGTGAGCGCGTGTGCACGCGTGTGCGTGCGTGTGCAAATGCGCGTCTGTGTGTGTACTCTGACTGCTACCAGAAGGGGGGAGAGCGAGAGACAGGCGACGTGAGACAGTGTTTCCGACGCGTCTCTTGAATCTCAGCCTTCGTTCAGCCTGAACATTTCTCACCCCTACCTTCATAGTCACAACTAACCAATCACCATAGGGGTAGGCCAGTGCAGGAAAATGCGAAGGCAAATCACCCGTCGCAATCTCGGCGGAACAGCGTTAATGAAACTGATGCTCATCGACCAAACCATATGGAAGTGGATCGATTCTCTGGCCTGGTTCAGTCACTGCTTGTCCATAGTTTGTTTAGAAAAGTGAGATTATCTTGTTACTTTCCTCCCTCTCTAAACCGCGACCACGTGCTTGAGCATGGAAAGACGAAGATGAAGGCGAATTGATCTCCAACGATGTAACACAAGAGTTCTCACAAATTTTTACTAAAAAATATACCACAGGTTATTTTTTGTTTATCAGTGCATGGGGTGTTTGGTAACATGGCTAATGCATTCATGTTTTGCATCCAGATTAGCTAGAAGAGGATGAGTCTTCTCGGATAATTTAGTTGAAGCAATGTGATCTGGAAGCTCACACGGGATTTCAAGGTTTTGGAAATGGGAGCTCGATGAGTCCCTTGAATTCAGCACCATATCATAAAGCGTGCAATATTTCCAGATACCTTTGAAGAGGTATTGAGTGAGGTTTGATTTATTTAATATGGTGAAAAGCAATCACCCAGAAATCAAGGAGAGCTCACTATTGGTTTCATCATGTTTAGGGCTTGTAAGGTAAGTGCCGGAATCTGAGACAACCAAGCCTTTTGTACAAAATCATTGCGGTTGGAAGTTTAGCTTTAGACATGTATGCATGAACAAATCGATGGAGCCTGATGCTTGACGGGGTGCTTCCTATTCGCTCAAACTCTGACTCTCTTTCTCATAACGTGCAGCGCAGAGGCAGTTTTGGGTTTCCGGATTTATGATGTTGATAAAGATTTCTTTGTTTGATGTGCCCGGTCCATTATTTCGGAAATTTGAGACGAGCTTTCAGGAGTCAACTCAGGGGTTGACTTTTCGAATTCTGGTGTCTGCGTCTAACCGATGAATATAAAGTTAAGTAATTTAGGAGCTGCAGTTCTGTGTAACTTTTATTACATGTCA